TATTACCACAATAAATGAATCCTATTCAGAAAGTCTTACCTTTTTTCTGACCCCTGCATAGTTTTATTCCCAGAAAAACAACAAGAGCCAAAAATATGATGTTTGAAATTCCAAGAGCAAGAAGAGTTGGATTCACATCTAAGGCAATAAAATGAATTTTTTTTTAATATATTTTGCTTAGATATATATATTTTTTACAATCATTTGATCAGTTCGGTATCATGTACTCCTGTAAATGAATGAAATGCTTTTCCAGAGAGGAACGATCAAACATGGACTCACATCACCACTCACTGAAACAAAATTAATTTGATCTTCTTAAATCTTTTTTTTAGATAAGTTTGGTATCATGTACTATATTAAGTACATTTTTGTATTTAATTTTTTTATATACATTACTGTATTGGTATCATGCACATGTAGTATATAAATCAAATGCTTTTCCAGATAGGAGATAAAGCCAAACATTTCAACATTTAAAGCCAGATATTTGCTTTACCTCTAATATTGAGTTGAGTTCCTTTTCCAAACAGTATCTCTCCACATGCGGCCACAGCGCAGTAGTAAATCCCAGCATCAGAGTCACTGATGTTGCTCTTGAGGAGATTGTAGACGCAGCTCTGTGTTTGAGACTCACTGCTGTTCTTACACTGACCATTTCTCTCTCCTTTGGTGTAAAGGACTCCTTGAGAGTCTCCCAAGCTTTGTCTGAACCAGTAGACGCTGTGTTCTCCAGCACAACTCTCACTGAAGATGCTGCACTGCAAATTCACAGAATCCCCTGGATGAAGCGTGTCTATCAAAGACTGCTGAACAGTTGTGTGTGATACGGCTGCATCTTGACATAAGTGACATAAAACGGACACTTGATAGAAAAAGCAAGGCCAATAGTCATCCAACACAATCCCCACAAAATATAAATAACAAGCAAGAAAATATACCTCTGACAAGTATTCTAGTGCCTGGACCCATTCCAATCTTCCAATTTGATGCGACGACACAGTAATATGTTGCTGAGTCTGAAGGCTTTGTCTTTAAAATGTTCAGATTAAAATGATTGTCTCCTTTGGTAACATTAAAACGATCCATTTTCTTAAAGTCCTTATTCCATTGGGGTTGTTTAAAGTTTACAGACACAATCTTTAAAGATTTTCCTTCAGCCGTCTGTTTAAACCATGCGGTTGATTCCAGAAACTCTGAAAAGTTGCAGGTTAAGTTCACATCTTCTCCAGACTGAACTATTTTTAAATCTTGCTGAACAACATCCACTTCAGAAGTGCAGACTGCAAAATGAAGCACACATTAGATACTTTAGAGTTGAATGTGTTATAAAGTGTTAAATAGGTGAGTTGTTTATAAGCATTTAGGTATATTTACATATTGTTGAGGAAAGCAAAAGAATGAAGTAATATCTCATGATCAGTCGTCTTCCAAAATTATCCTCAGGCTTTGAATTCCCCTGAAAAAGCAAACGAATGAGCCACACCATCACACACGCTAAAGAACAAGTGTAGATCACTAGACTGTGTCCTTACCATGTGTCCATCTGTCTCTGCTTCAGTCAACTGAGGCACATGTGCACTTTCACCTTAACTTTTCTGCTTTCACACACTGTCGCCACATCAAAATGGCCAATTTCTTTTTTTAACTCAACCATTTTTCCTTTCCATTGCTCCGGAAACCCTCTTTCATTTATTAGGAAATGTATTATAAATACTATTGCTTAGTTACCCAGTTTTTAGCAACTAAAGTTGCCCTCTTTGAAAACAGAGTTAATGTGTTTTTTTATTGCTACCAAAAATGCATTTTGTGGTTTGACACAGAAAAAAGCAGGAAATAAGATGTTTCAAAGAAGCATGTAACCAAAAAACAATCCTTTTAAGGGCCTCATATAAATCTCAATGTTTTAGTAGGCCTACCAATGATGACAACCAAGATATTTTACATTTAATTCAATAATTAATTAAATGTAAAATTAAATTAAAATAATTCAATTAAATGTATTTTTTAAATCAAGGGGATAGCAGGGCACGATCAAGTCTAAAGGTATTATGCCCTTTTACAAAGTCTTGATTTTGTTTTGGAGGTGTACTAGAATATGCTTTCATGCTTGATTGTTCAAAAAACACATTATTTGTCACATATTTTACATTATTACAGCACTTCTCTCCCCAGTCTGGCTCGAACGCAACATTAGTTCCTGTTCTGATGAAGCCCCTCCTTCTGAATTATGAAATGTGCCGTGATTGGTTAGCTGGCCCAGTGTGTTCTGATAGGCACTGCTTAGCGCGTGTTCTGGAAAGTCATGCCTCTTACCATAACAGCGAACTCTACTCAGATGTAAGTTTTAAGGATGGCTTCAATTTCAAACCAATTCAAGCCTGATTCAGACTTAAGAATGTTAACAAACAAGAGGATCGTCCAGAACGGATTTCATGCACGGACTTTGCAAGCACAGATTTCATAGGACGTTTCAGCGTGGCATTCTTTTTTTGTAATTTTCTTATACAATTTTAGATACGATGTTATACACCATTTAATCATAATATTTGTTGGAAACTATATGGTAATACAAATAGTAATCGATCACAAAACCATGGTTAATTTTCCTAAGGAACGGTGAACAGCCGTACTACATAAGTAAATGGTAAATGGACTGCATTTATATAGCGCTTTCACAGACCCAATGACCACCAAAGCGCTTTACATTTTGCCTCACATTCACCCATTCATTCACTCATTCATACACCGACGGCGGGAGCTTAAAAAAGCTACAGTAAACAGTAGCACTATATCAACTGTAACGTTGTCTAGCAGACTCGCAGAGGCAAAGCTTTGCTCTTTGTTCTTACATCTCTAGCCAGCAGAGGCACCAGTTGCTTCAGTATTTTTACACTTACCTGTTGGTGGTGGGAGTGACTCACCTAAAAGTCCTTCCACCATAGCTATCCACGAAGTCCTCCTCTGTGAAGAAAGGATTTCAAATGTGTTTTTTTTATATTAATAATATTCCACGACCTGCAATATGTGCGCATGAGAAAATTATAGGGACAGTCTGCTGGAAGTCATGGGGTTAAATAGCTGATGACCCGGAGTCATCCTGGTCACGAGGGACTTTGTTTCTATTAGACCCGACATGTGCATTTGCAAGAAGAGATAACATCCAGTGTGAAGCACTTCTTCCGGAAGAACATGAATCCGGAAAAACTAAATAAAACACCTCTCATACTGTTTATTTGAATTACGTACAAATTACGCACATAAAAGTTGAATTATGCAAAGATATCTGAAAGACCAGTAAAAATAGATTGGATGAACCTATCGGGATTATTTGTTTATACACTGATGAAGTCTGCACAGTATCAGGAGTAAGTGAGTAAATACTGTACATTGAAATACATGAGAATGAAAATAAGTTATTTATTTATTTGGGCACCTGTTACGTCAGCAGGCTTTGCTGGCTGTGAGATTTTCCCACTATAAAAATAAGGATGTATTTCGAATCCATACATGCCATGGATGTGCTTCAATATTTCCGCAGGCTTTTATTTCTTGGAGATTTGACTTATATATTTGAAGTTTGACATAGAGACATTCCATAGGCATAATGGTTTTTATACTGAGAGCTATTGACAGTTTCTTGGCCCTAACCGTAAACCCATCACAGAAAACTTTCAGCATTTTTACATTTTCAAAAGACATAATAAGGCATAACTAATGAATTATACAGAGAATATAACTTCACTTTAGTTGTCTACAGTAATGTTTTTTTTAAAGTGACTGTAAATTTTTCGCATTTCAAAAATATGTTAGTACTCTTGCATAAAGTCAATAAAAAATAAACCAAATATGTTATACAATCAATAAAGAACAAAAAAGTAGTTTTAATGTCAGTTTGTGTTTCAGTTAAATGTATTCGAGGAGGTTTAAATGAATTTGCATTTTTTGCTAAAGGAATAATCTGTTTGGATAAATGTGTTACATTGTCACAAAAGAGACACACAGCAAGATACAGGAACAATAATGGATAAAGCAGACTTTATTTTAGTTATTTACTTATAAACGTGAAGCCATGCCTATATTACATTGTTACATTTTTTTGGGGGAACATTAAAGCCATGGATATCACAGAACACGCACCATAATTTTACACATACTGTAACACCATTTATGAAAAATTACTTTAAGCTAAAAATCATGTTTTACATTTGCACTACAAACAAGGAATTTGTGGCATGTGCTTTGAGAAATGATCATCTTAATTTAGATACTTTCAAGTATCAAAAACACAATATTATTTAAGTACAGTTTAAGTTAATATACAGACAAAAATATCTGGTTTCTGTTCTATATAAATGGACATAGTACATGCAACCAGCTATATTTAAAGCTCAAATAACATGATAAAAAGGTCACGAAAATACAGAACAATATGTAAAAGACTTGCGATGTGACATGAACTGTTGCAAATCTGGTATGTATACACACTGTTACAAAGCATTACTGAAAATATACAGTAATACATGTTTTACCTCATAAACTAGGCTTGAATGGGAAACTGTTACTTCTGTTGTGAGATTATAGGCATTCTTTCACTATACATGCTGTATGTCACAAGAGAGTGTTCTTGAGTAATCTTTACTTTGAGTCCGTTTGCTATGAAAGAATTGTGAGCTGCAAAACTCAGAATGTCTTCACCCTACAATAATGCGGAAAAAGAAACAAACGTCAAAGACATTGTCACATAAAATGAGGATAAAAGTCAAGTCTTTTAAGGAGCCCCACTATTATAATCATTTGCATGTGATAAGACTTACTGTATGATTCTAATTAATAAATATATGATTTGAATCTCAAACATAAAACTAGAAACTTACCTGACTCTCTTGAGATTTGTGGATTGTGGGTAAATAAGAAAAACATTTAATTAAAAAAGGCAATATTTCTGTAGTGGTATTTTTATTATTTTAATAAACGTGTTAATATAAATACTATATGTGTTATCAGTGTGTGCTAAAAAGAAACCTTACCTTTATTCTGATTCTGGCATAGTTTTATGGCAAGAAAAAAGGCTAAAGTTAAAAATACGATGTTTGAAATCCCAAGAACAAGCAGGGTTGTATTTACTCCACTCTCTGAAAAGACATAATTCATATTACTGATAACAGATCAGTGCATTGGTGTTATTTCCCTAATATATGATTTAAATGCTCCTCCTGAGTGGCAAAATTAAATATGTCTCCCAAAACCTTACCTTTAAACTTGAGTTGAGTTCCTTTTCCAAACAGTATCTCTCCACATGCGGCCACAGCGCAGTAGTAAATCCCAGCATCAGAGTCACTGATGTTGCTCTTGAGGAGATTGTAGACGCAGCTCTGTGTTTGAGACTCACTGCTGTTCTTACACTGGCCATTTCTCTCTCCTTTGGTGTAAAGGACTCCTTGAGAGTCTCCCAAGCTTTGTCTGAACCAGTAGACGCTGTGTTCTCCAGCACAACTCTCACTGAAGATGCTGCACTGCAAATTCACAGAATCCCCTGGATGAAGCGTGTCTATCAAAGACTGCTGAAGAGATGTGTGTCCAGCTTGAAAAGTGACATAAAAGGAATAGAAATAGTAAACACAAAATGCCATAAATCAAACAAAACTAAAATAACAAACAGTAAAACTTACCTTTAAAAAATAATCTAGTGCCTGCACTCATTCCAATGCTGTAATATGATGCGACGACACAGTAATATGTTGCTGAATCTGAAGGCTTTGTCTGTAAAATGATCAGATTAAAATGATCATCTCCTTTGGTAACATTAAAACGATTCATTTTCTCAAAGTCCTTATTCCAGCTGGGTTGTTGATTTAAATATAGAGACACAACTTGTATGGATTTTCCATTGGATGTCCGTTTAAACCATGCTCTTGTTGATTGCAGAAGCTTTGAAAAGCTGCAAGTAAGATTCACATCCTCTCCAGCTCGAACTACTTTTACATCTTCCTGAACAACATCCACATTAGAGGACACATCCGAGGAGCAGACTGCAAAATCAAGCAGGTACATTTAATAGACAGAGTTCTGATAAATGATAAATAGATAAATAGTTTTGTTGAATAGGAAAGATTTCAAGTATATTTACCTATTACTGAAAAGAACAAAATGATTATATAATATCTCATGATCACTGATCTTCCAAAATTATCCTCATATTTTAAATTCCCCTGGGTAAAAAAACAACAAAAACCAAACACGAATAAGCCCAAAACAATCATTTCACACCAATTAAATAATAGAGGTAGATCAGTAGACTGTCCATATACCATGTGTCCTTCAATCTCTGCTTCAAACAAATGAGATGCATATGCACTTCTGTCCTATTTATTCACACGGCTGTAAAATCTGATTGGTCATTTGAAAAGGGTTTTGAAGATGGCGAAAACCACTTCTGTGACAGCAGCCAATCAACTGGATGCTGTGCTGGAGTTATACTCCCCCCCCCCCCCCAAAAAAAAGTTGATAATTAAATTTAAAACATGTGGAAATTATAATTAAAAATATTATCAGTTATTTAGCTATTTTAACAAATGAAGTACCTTTTTCCTGTACATACTTGAGTGTTTTAAAACAACTTTACTGAAAATCACAGACAGTTCCTACACTTTAATTAAATCTCATAAATGCTAAGGAATTTTTTTTCAAGAACTGCTTTTTTGAAGTTAAAGGAAATATGATTGCTGTTGTAACCTACATTTTAAAGTTGGCAGATGGGTCAGATCTGAGTGCTGGTAAGCATATGCCACTGTGTAGTGCAGTGAGACTGACCCCGTCCTCCGTTTCTCTTTGTTTTCACACGTCTTTTTTCACACCTCTTGCTGCAACAAAACCACAACATGTCAAAAACCAACTACCCTTCCATTGCAAAAAAAAAAAGCCTTATTTTTATACTGTAGACAGACAACTGTATGACATTTTGATAAACTGCCTACTGCATATTAAAACTATGAGGTATACATAACAATGGTTAGCATCTGTATGTGCATAAGTGGTTAATAATAATAATAATTCGTTACATTTATATAGCGCTTTCCTGGGAACTCAAATCGCTTTACATGGAAGGGGGAATCTCCTCAACCACCACCAATGTGCAGCATCCATCTGGATGATGCGACGGCAGCCATATTGCGCCAGAACGCCCACCACAGTATCATAAGAACAAAAACAGGAAATTAGTCTCTTCACAGAAAAAAAATGGCCTAATGCAGCGGCTATTTTTGTGGGTGAGGTAGCAGTAGACATGCACATTTTTTCATTTTAGAACTATTATTGAAAATAAATGTTTCTCTATTCCCCATACATTTCAGAGAGTTAAATCTCAACCATGGCAACCATTGATGTGTCCATTTGTTTAGGCCTTAAAATCATTAAAGTCAGAAGTATGGGACACGGATTTGTAATTTCAGCACCAAGGACAGAGACAAAAAGACTAATTTTGCACTGCAATACAACATGACCCAACATAAATCTTTTCATATTTCAAATTGATGCAGAAAACACAGGGTGACACAAAGTTTCTACACAAACAGAATTTTCAACACTTTAATATAACACGTGCAAACTGAACATCATCCGACAAATCCTTTTCAAAGCATTGAACCAGGATAGCTAATGGATATTTAAGGTTTTACAATGCAATATCCTATTGCACAATATCTTAACTGGTTCATTTTAAAGAGCCCTAAATAAATGTCATGTTCAGATATTGCTTACATTTAAGTTATAAAGTTACAAAGTTAATGTTTTCATAAGTCTTTGCTGATCTGATGTAAAGTGGACATTTGAGTTGATTCTTAACCACAAAAGTACCCAAGCCATCATAAAAGACTATACACACAACCCACACACCATATCAAAGAGATAAAAGCACTTTAGCTATATTGTGTTCACAGAAATAATGTAATTTTTTGCCCACTAACAGACTCACTATTTGGATTCCATTCACAAAACACATGATCATTTTGGGCCTTGTTTACACCACTATCAAACCTTGTACCGCAGACTCAGACTCTGTCCATATAAGGAGAGGATGTGACTCTAGCTGTCAGAGATGAGCTGCATCACTTCCTGTTGCATGAGAGGGACACACACACACACACGCTTTGAACTATGAGATCTGTTTGCATGCACATGTAAGTGTGACACGCGCCCTTGATGGCTAAAGCAGTTTCCTACCCCCAAGACTGACCTCTGTCTGTTTTTAACAGCACACTTTGAATCGAAACCACAGAAACAACATTCAAACAGTCAACCACTGCAAGTTGTTTTCCATTGGTAGAGAAAAAAACATCTTAGAAAAGTTGAGGCCTAAGAAAAAGTTAGTTTTAGTTATGACAACTAAAGTTATGACAACATGATGAGGTAAAATATGTGATCTTATAATCTTAAAAATATATCCTTTAAACATATAATATTACCTTGTCAGTCATTTTAGCCTGTTATTGTGATTTTAAATGTTATTTTTCTGTGAATTCAAGTTTAGTAGAAGATGGGTTCAAGAATGGGGATTTAACCCATGTTAAGATGGGTTAATATTTAAGGCAGACAATGTCCCTATATGTTATATTAGCCTAGTTATGATTCTTTAGTTATGTTATGGTAACTTCAAATAATGATATCCAAAAGATGATGTTTCACTGCTTTAATGTCTTCAAATCCCCATCTTTCCCATTCAGTCAGTCACGTTAAACGTCACGTTAGACTGATGTCATGGGGTCTTGGCTGGGAGTCCAATCACCTCCAAGTGCTAACAAATCCAGCCAATGGACGTGGCCAGTGAGATTTGCGTGCCAAGTCACACCACCCCGGACATACGTGTATAAATAAGACCGGCATTACTCACTTTATACATTTTTTGCTTCGGAGCTGAGCGGTTGTAAAACGATCGCTTAATTCAAACACCAATTATTATTGCTATTTTTTGGGTTTTCTCTGCCGGTGTGAAGGCAGCTTCCAGCCGTGTGTGGATCCAGCACACTGTTCATTCAGAGCTTCATTAATCCCTGGGCATTTCGGCTGAAAAAGCAGTTGTACCAGAAAGACTCAAAAGGCGAGATGATATCACAATATCATTTATTAATTAATAGACCAGAAAATGAAAACAAAAATATTGGATGGTAAAGTTCTTTGGCGCAGGCCCCATCTGTAGTTCACATTCAGAGGGTAGCGGACTCTGCATATCCTGCCTGAGGATGGAGGTAGGGGCGTAGCCGATAGGTGTGGATAGGGACCATCCTGGTGTGGTGGTGGCATCCTCTAGCATGCCATGTGCCGTCGAGTTGCCGAATGCTGGTGCAGGTCACTCACGTGAGGCACCTTGTATCAACAGTATCGGCGCTCCGGATGAGGATCAGGGATGAGGATCAGATGTCGATCACTGCATCGGGAAGTGGGCTTTTGTCCTTTGGAGAGGATGAGGAAGCTAATGAGAGGATCCATACAATGACAACAGCAACCGGTCCACAATATTGTCACACCTGTTTTGGACTTTGTTTTGCCTTCCGAGATTGTGCACCATGTGTTTTCTTGTTAATCAGTTTCACCTGTTACCTGTCATCATCCTCATCAGTCATCATCACTCACCGTGTGCACCTGTTGTCACTTAGTTTCCTCATTTGTCTGTGTATAGTCTCTCTAGTTTCAGTTCTTCCTGGTCGGTTCTACGTCTTTACTGCTTGCTATCTTTGGTACGTGTCTTGTTCATAAATAATAAATAGAGTTTGATCGTTATCCGTCTTCTTCGTCTTCATGAACATGCCTCACGGAGCCAAAGTGTGACAAATTAAACACTCTACGATTGAATTATAACTTTTTATTATTTACAACAACAAAAAATATCACATATTCAGTATGAAACAAAAAACCAGGCAAATTGTATTTCTAAGCATAAAACCAACATTTTAACCATTGACATTTATATCTAATGTGCTGTACAATTATAATCAATGGAAGATATAACACATATTCCACACTGTTTTAGTTGTTACAAGAAAAGATTTAAAAGAAATATAGGCCTATCAGGTTTCATATAGTACAATTTAAGCTCATATCAACAGCAGTTTGAAGTTGATTTCCACAGTTAATGTCCATTCATTGTACAAACTGTATTATTGTAAATTCATGTCCTAGTTCTTTTATACAAACTAGGGCATGTGTTATAATCATTTGATGTGGTAAATGTTGCCATTTAAAAAAAATAAGCTTGGTAGAAATGGACTTCTTTCAAATAACTGCTAAATGCATGATAGATGAGGTGAAAGTCAAACTTGTGTTCTACCAGTTTTATTCCTCAAGCCTTCTAAAGGTTAAATACGTTTGTGATACATTGTATATTTGACTGTAGTGCTGGTGTCATCAGCCTGAAACAGAACCACAGTTATAATGATACAAATATTTTGATAATGAACAAACAACACAAATTGGAAAAACCTAAAACTTCATGCAGACATTATGCAGTTTCACATTTCATCTGTAAAGATATATTGGCATAAAGCAAACAAAGCCGATTCTGAAAGCAATTAAATAAAGAGAAGATAAAGCAAAAGGAAAGGTCTTACCATTGATTGATCAAGCACAATATATGGGACCCCGTCTTGAGTAAAAAATAAGAACGTTTACGTTACATCTGCACTGAAACTTATAGACATTGCTTTGAATACTAGAGTTAAATAAAGCATGTAAATCTTACCTTTCTGCTGGTGCTTGCACAACTGTGAGCCCAGAATTATGATCACAATCACTGATAAACTGTTTGAAGCTGCTAGAACTAGGGCAATTGTACTCCATGGTGTATCTGCAGAAATGAAAAATAACTTATTTTTCAAAGATATTAGTGATGCAACAACACCATGAGCCCACATAATTTTTTTATTTTTTTTGTAGCAAATTCAGTGTATACCTGGCCCTGGTGAATCAACTTTTCTTCCTTCTCCAAACAGTATCTCTCCACATGCGGCCACAGCGCAGTAATAAATCCCAGCATCAGAGTCACTGAGGTTCTTCTTGGGCAGGTTGTAGACACATTTGTGTGTGTTTGAGTTCCCATCAGATCTCCTCTCACACTGAGCGTTCCTGCGTTCCTGAGTGTAAATGATTCCTGGAGGAGATTCTCCAGATTGATGTCTGAACCAGTAGACGTTGTGTTCTCCTGCACAGCTCTGAGTGACGACGGCACACTGCAGAGCCGCTGCAGACTCTTCTGGAGGATCTGGATCTGTCTCAGGTCTCTGATGCTCTGAGTCCATGCTCAGCTGTCCATCTGAAAAGAAA